CTATGAAGAAACGGTGACGGAATATGAGGTAGCCGAGAGGCGCTACAACCCTTTAGTCCAGAGTGTCTACGATATGGAAATATTGACTCCCGTGCATATGGACTGCATGTGCTACGTTTCTGGATGTAACTTGCATGGTGGCTACAACATGATGTTGTCAATGGTTTATTTGGGCAGAACTCTGAAATTGATGCAGAATGGTTTGAGAACAACTGGAATTGGTTATAATACCGTGAAGATACGTTTTATGTGCATGTGAATACTTTTCGTCAACTTGGTGGAGAAGAAGAATGTTTTTGGGATGGAAATTCATTTGCAATGAATTTTACTGGACTGCAAATGAATTTGGAGATGATTTTGGTTTCGACGACTTTTTGGACAAGCTCAACGTTGTTTTTCAAACACATGTGCATGCGTTTTCAACCACAACCTTGACTGGATTTGTTTTCTGCATGATGCGTTTTATTTTCGGAAGCTGCCAACTATTTTTGTCAACAGTCGTCTTGTGTGTGCTCAAAGAAATTCTTCCACATCCTACATAGTAACAAGAGCCAAGTCCAGGGAACGCATGCTGCAAAATAGCACAATGAATAGGTATAGCAGAAGCCAGCAAGCAAACTGTAAGATTATATATATTTTAGTCCTCGTTTTCATGGCAATAGCCGCTGGAGCTGTGGCCTTGGTGACAGAGAAGGATGTAACAGAACTCCGAGCAGCTCTGAAGCAGAACCAAAAAAAGATACGAAACTGCCAGCAGCAAGCTCGCAGAGAAGCGGTCGCCTTGCGGAAGGGTGGCCTATCTTGCCACGCTGTCCGACGAGTTTTAGCCGTCTATCTGGTTTCAAACTGGGATTTGAAGTTGGCTATGCTAGCGGCGCAACGGCTCTCCCGATTGCCGCCATGTTCTGCTGCATTTCCAACGCCAGATTTTGTCAGGGCCCTCTTTGTGGAACACAAGTGGGAAGATTTCTTGCTGGTGCATGATGATGCCTCTCCATTGTGGGCGCCTGCCCGGAAATTTGCATCTCAGTTCCTGCTGGAACACGATGCTTGGTGTTGGGTGAAGCGGCAGAACTTTTGTCAAGAGGTGGCTCCATCAGCTTCAGATGTGTTTCATTACTATGAAAACAAGGTGCTTGATGCTGTGCCATCTGGAGAGCCTCGGCGGAGAACCGTCAACAAATGGGCTACTCGTTGGCGGGCAAGGTGGGGCGTTCGCAGGGCAAGCCTGCGGTCAGCTGACGCAGTGGATGCCAACATTTTGCGCGAGAAGGCGGGGAATGGGCAAAAAATCGGGTCACAGTTTTTGGACCGCTGTCCAGCCTCAAAAATAGGGCCCTTACAAATCGGAGGGCTGCTTTTTCGGCCGGAAAGCGGTCCTCTTTTCAGGCCCCAGAAACCTAGCACCGAATCCGTTTTTGTGGCCATTTCTTTCAATGTTTTTCAAACCCATGGTAATTTTTTTTGCGTGGCCAGGTGAAAGCCTTTTGGAAATCCATTGCATATGTGACCGACAAGTTTAGTCACCGCGAACTGGTTTGGATCAACTTTGATGAAAGCTCTGTTCTTTGCTGCCCGCCATGTCCGAAAGGTTGTATTGTGAAGGACTGGCAGACTTACCCCGTACCAGGGGGCCCATAAATGCCACTCCCGAAAAGCCGGCGCAGGATCGCCTACACATATGGGGCGTTGCTTTGTAGCCATCCAGGCATTCAGGCCATGCTGCCACACTTTCTTGTTTGCAGTGAGAAGCGGCTACCAAAGCTTGTCGCCAGAGGCTTTGCTGCGCTGCCACAGACGAAGCTGCGTCTTCTTCGTGCAAAGTCGTCTTGGGTGACAACTGATTGCATGATCAAAATTTTGGCAGCTGTGAGAGAGGCCCTCCAGCCTTGGCTTCCAATGGTTAAACCAATACTCCTTTTGGACACGGCTTCTCCTCATTTACCAAAAAGATTCATGGCTTTTGCCAAAGCACAAGATTTTCAATTACTTTATGTGCCAGCTTCCACCACTGGCTTGCTACAGCCGTTAGACACCAGTGCTTTTGGGGCATTTGAACAATGGGTAAAAAGGTCGAACCAGCAGCTCAAGCGGACCGCCCAAGGCGGTCAGGTGCAGCAGCTTGAATTTCTTTGGCAGCTGCAACAAGCTCCAAAGGATTTTTTTGGCCAAAGGGGTTGGGCCCGCGCTTTCGAAGGCGTTGGGTGTGGGCGAGATGTGACGAAGTTACATTCCGCCTTGAAAAATTTCATGCAGCATCCAGTGTCCTTCCCTCTCCCAGCAAAACCTAGTCCAGCTGAAATAGCTCTCATTTGGCCTAAAAGGCGAAAGATGAGCTATGCGGAGGCATGTTTGTTCCAATAACACCAAAGGTGTTGAGGTCATGCATTTGTTCCTGTTGGAAAATTAGATGCAACCGGAAAGCAGCAAGTGTGACACTGTCAGGGCCCATGGCCTTGAAGCTTCAAGGTTTGTTTCTTAGGGGGCCAGAAAAGCAGGCCATGTATCAGACACTTTCCATCTGAGCTTGCAGTGGGTTCTGCAGCCATTTTGCTGCAACAAGTGCCAGAGTTTGGAACGCACTGTAGTTGAGCTATTTGTTTCAATGTCGGATGATGCAGCTGCCGGTCCAGCTGTTCCAGCGAGCGCTGCCAGCTTACAGCCACCGCGCATGCTTGGGCCAGACCAGTTGCCAGCTTTACGCGCAGCAAGGGCAGTGCTGAAGCAGCAGCTCAAAGATTCTACCAAGGAGATTCGCAAAGAGGCAGGTGCCATTCTCATTATTGTCGGAGACATGAGTGCCGTCCGCCATACATGTCAACAGACGATGGCAACATGACGGCATGCACGCCTGCCAGTGTACCTTTTTTGCCAGGTTCGCCGCAGATCTCGTCTCATGAAAAAAAGCCGCTGGATTGTCCACCTCTGATTTGGCTTGGCTCTTGACTTGCCGTACTGCGAACGCAGACTGAGCGGCAGTTTGAGCAGCATGCAGCACCAAAGGTGCCAAAGCATGGGGGAACAAAGTCCGAGACAATTTGCCTGCAAACATTATTTCTCAGAGAGGGCCGCACCATGGATCCCCAAGTCAGAGAGAGAGAGAGAGAGAGCAGCTCGTGAATTATTTCTTCTTCCATCTCCCTATTTTTTCCGGGTGCAACCAAGAGTGCTTTTCTAGATGTGTGTCAATTCTCGTTGCAGCCTGCAAGGCAATCAGACTGTAATCTGCGATGCCCTGGCAGGTAGCAACATGGCTCATGCTAGCAACAGAGCAGGTGCAGCACATTAAATCAGCTTTTGAATCAGCACCCAAATCCTACAGGTTAGGTAACATAAGCCCTAGTATGCCCAACATATTGTAAATGATACCTGAGGCAAATCGTATAGGCACGGAGCAAAATACTAGTAAGTATCTTCAAAATAGTGCCAAGAGGTTTTGAAGCAAATCATAGAGACACGGGGATAAATACTGCTAAGGATCTTCAAAATACTGTTAAGAGCTTTTGAAGCAAATCGTAGAGGCACGGAGCCAAATAAGGTTAAGAAAGTCGAAAAATAAGAAAAATAGTAGAATTATCTAATTCTTTTGACCCTGAATTTCCCAGTTCTTAACCTTATTTGATCCCCCAACAATAGGATTACTCCCCGGAAGTCTTACCCTTATCACCATCCCTTAACCTTTTTTGATCTCCTGACAATGGGATTGCACCCCGGAAGTATTACCCTTATTTGACAAATCTTGAATTTTTTTGATTTTTCTGACAATGGGATTGCACCCCCGAAGTTGTTCCCTTACGTCACAGGGATCTACCCTCATTTGATTTCATAATAGGGAGTTTGCTGGTATTGTCGGATATGGCGGCAGCTTGGCCTCTGGCGGCTGTGGCGGCTGTGGTGGCTGCTCATTGTGCATCTGTGGCGGCTGTGGCGGCTGTGGCAGCGACTCATTCATCTGGCAACTGTGGCGGCTGTGTGGCGGCTGCTGGTGGATGTGGCGGCTTGGCTGGGTTTCATGGGGGAATACATCTGTGTCAGCGCAAGCACTGTTGATGTAGACGAAACATTTGCAAATCAGAGCTGCAACGTTTTTTTGGCGGTTTTAGCCAGCGTGTGCGAGATGTCTTGGCATGATGTATTTGTTAGTAGAGATTAGCAGTGGGTTATTGCCGCTGGTCGTGGTGGGGGAGCATGCTACTCGTTCGCTTCTGTCTCCTCCTCCTTCGCTCTTGGTCCCTGTCTTGTTATACCTCTCCTCGGTTTCTCCCCCTTGTTTGTTTTCCTTCGATTGTCGCCCTGTGCAGGTGCCTACATCGATTTCGAGCTCTACAAGCAGCGGCCCCTTGGCTTCGTTGTGGTTGCTGCTGCTGCCGCCGTTGTTTGTTGTTGGTCTGGCTGCTTGCTGTTGCTGTTGTCGTCCTTTCGCTGTTGTTCTTGCTGCTTCTGGTCGTTCTGGCTGTTGCCGTCGTCCTTGTTGTTGCTGTTGTTGTTGTTGTTGCTGTTGTTGTTTTCTGTTGTTCTTTCTCTCTTTCCCTTGCTCTCTTTCTCCTGGTTTCCCTCTTCACCTTGCCCTGCCTCCCTGTCCTGGTCTCTTGCTTTGTCGCTGCTTCTATTGTCTGTTCTCTGTTCTTTGATCTCTTTGTCCGTGTCTGTCTCTGTTTCTTCACTCTGTTCCTTATTTTTTTTGCTCCCTCGCCCGGCCCATGCAACTAGATTATCCTCTCTAGTGCACATCGCGCAACCTTTCTAATGGTGGATAATGTATTGCTTCAAAGCTGTGTAGAGACCAGTTGTGCACACATTGGTGTCAGCCGTAGTTTTTTTAAGTGGCCTCCCCGAACACGTTTGCATGAAACATTTTCTTCGTCATGCACTCCTGAGGGTGCTGCACTGCAGAATAAGAGAGCAAAGGAGAGACTTCCTATATAGCACACGCCAAGAGAATTGCATTTTTGACACAAGTTTTTCCGTAATTCAGAAGCATGCGCGCATGATGCAGCGCCATGAAGCGCCGGAGATTGCTGTCAAAGCAAAGGCCTCCCCCATGCTATGATGAAACCAAGAAGGAGGACGACCAAGTCTTAGCACATGCTGCTAGCTCAGTTTCTGCCGTTGACGAAAGTCAGGCAGGTGGCACGGACCCTGCAGAATCGGAAAGTGTCTATGCTGCAAGCGCAGCTTTCCTGAAGTTGTGGATGCTGATGGGCAAGAAACTGTGGACTCAGCAGATGTTCGTTGGCAGCTGCTTGGTAAGTACAAGACTGTGCAGGCCTTGGTTGCAGCTGTGATTCGAGGGAAAAACTGATGAGCAGCTCCAAAGCATTTCTATCAACGTCGTTTTGGAAGATATCTTGGCCAAAGCAGGTGGCAAAGTCAGCATGGCAGAACTTTTGCAGGAGAAAGACGAATTCATTGCAGCTACAATGACCGTGGTTCCCAAAGAGCTCTCTCGGCGGTTGCTTCTTGCTGTGAACAAGCCACAGGCTCCTGCCGGGCGGCCAGCACAAATAGATTCACAATGTGTGCAAAAGACTTACCTGCTCACCTTCTCCAACCTGGATCCAATCAATGCCCCCACAAGGGAAGCCATCCTTGAGACCGTCTTGCAAGCATTTGACGCTGCAGACTATGGTGCGCCTGCTGCCGTAACGCATGCCTGTGTTTTCCGGGAGGAGCATGGCAGTGGAAAGTGGCATTTTCATGTGGCTACGCAATTGTCAGAACCTTGTCGTTGGATTGGATGGAAAAAGGAGTTGACGAAAGCCGGCTATGTTGCGCACTTTGCAAACATGGCTGTGGATGACCACAGCAAACACAAAAACATGCAGTATGCCCATATGTTGCGGTACCTCTGGCTACCATCTGACAAGAAGGGCTTGTCGGCCTTGGACAAGGCTCCGTTGTTGTGGTGCTCTGGGGGTCGGAAGCATCCGCCTCTTCTAGACGCGATTAATGGCATCCTGGACAGCTCTGCTGTGGAAGAGAAGGTGGCAGAGCGCTTTTTGCAGCGTTGGGCTGCCGGCAAGCGCGGTCCGTGCAAATTCTCTAATTTGGAGCTCTGACCAATTGTGACGCAACTTGGCCTACACGCCGATGACCTTGTCCTGCTTGCGAAACTCCTCTCACTGATTGCAGCTCCACTGCGCTGGCCCATGCCTGCGCCTCGCTCGTATCCATGGAGACAGATCCATGCATACAGCAGGGGGCCAATGCCGTTCCCCCTTCATAGCTGCCATCTTCCATTGAAACTCCCCTTGCCATAGTTTCAAGGGCTTTCACCCTCGCTTCTTCAATGACGGCCTCAATCGCTTCAGCCTCCTCAAGGGCCCTAGCCCTCGACTCTTCTTCCTCTTTCTCTTTGCTTTTCACCCGGTTTTGTTCCCCGAGTCCTCCTTTCCTTTGTTCTTTTCGCCTTTGCCTTGGGGGCCTTTGCCCCCTCGTCGATCCTTTCCAGATCCTTTGTGGCCATCGTCTCTGCTTTCGCCCTTGCCTTTTCCCCCACTTCGGTTGAAGCCTGTTGGCTGACTTGCCAGCCACTTCATCCTGGACTCGGCATAGATGTCCTTCTGAGCGGCATCCATCTCAGGCACCGGTGTCAGAAACACCCCCTCCTGGGGAAGGAGCTCGAGTCTCTGGGCAACTGACCAATGGGTCCCATTGATCACAGCTTCGCAGCTCTTGAAACGTTGTAGTAGAAGGTCCATCGCTGAAGCAGCTTTTCCTGTCAACAGCAAGTCTGCGGTTGCTGCAATGGTCAGGAGCTCTCGACGCTGAGCTCCCGCACTGCTCTTTTGCAGCTCCCGCACTGCTCTTTTGCAGATGCTGGCGGAAATATTGAAGGGCGCAAGGTTTCAGGACTCCCGGTTGGTCGTCCTCGCCCAAGCCGCTCAGCAGCGCACTTCTCATCTGCGACAGACCCTGGGAGGCCAGCGCTCCCGGAAACCTCTCTGACACTCGACGAACCTTGGATGCCTGCTGGAACACACTCTCGGAGTCCATGGCCGGCCCCGTGGAGGAAGAGCTGCTGGTGCTGTCGCCTGATCCGGAAGAGGACTTGCGATCCCCCTTCTTCCTCAGGTGACGACGGGCAGCCTTGACCACCTTCCTTCTCGTTCTCTCCTTGGGGTCGAGCCCGGTCCCCTTGTACAGGGCCGATGGATCCTTCTTTCCTGCAGCCTTCACTCGACCCCCATCCATCCTGGCTACGATGGTGGAGTCGGACGTCTGTGCCTCTTTGTCTCCTCCTGCGTTTCTTTCTTTCTTTTTGGCCTTCTTCTCTTTCTTGGCCCTTTTCTTCTCCTTTTCTTTTGCTTCTTTCTTGTCTTTCTTTGTATCCTTCTCGTCCTCTTGAGCTCCCGGTGTTGCAGGAGCTAGCCTCCTTTCTCTCATTCGAAGCATCTCTAGCTCGTCCCCTTCTTCTCGGGGGACTACCTTCTCCAGATTGTGGGCCCAAGCCTCTTCTCCGTCGCGGGGTCTCATCTGCCGCATGACTTCTCCATGCACCAACGTGTCTGCCACCTCTTCTCGGTTGCAGTCGGCCCCGCACTTGTGGACTCGGAAAATGCCCTGGGGACTGGCGCCATGCATCTTCAAGATGCCTTCCGATGTAGTTCCAGTGAGCCGCATAGTCAGGGTCACTTCCCCGTCCTTCACGCCCACTCCTTCTACTTCGCCGGCAACTTTGCACTGCTGGAGATAATAGTGGCCCTTGCTCACCACTACCTTTTCTCCTGTCCCCACTAGAGTGATGGGGAGTTGGCTGGCCTGGACATCTTGTCCTGCCGCCCATCTCTCTTCCGGAGTAAGACCTTCTCCTCCGTCCTCTCTCGCCGGACGTCGAAGGATGCCTCTCACCCTTGCGGCCGGACGGGCCATAGCTTTTGCTAATCCTTTTGCCTTCGCTTTTGCCATCACACCTGCCCTCGCTTTGGGCAGCCCTTTTGCCTTTGCTTTGGGTGCCATCACGCCTAACGGCGGCGGCGGCGACCCTGGTTCTGCCTCCAGTCTCGCCCTCTCTTCCTATGCTTGGCTCCCTTGCTTTTCTTCTCTGGTCTTTGGCTCCTGGCCTCCGGCTGTTCTCCCCAGCACCCGCCGTGACGTCTGCTCGGGGGGTGAGCCGGCTCAGTTGGCCGATGCCGCTCCTCAACTCTCTCCTCGGCGTCTCGGAAATGCCTCCCTGCGGAACCTCTCACAGGTAGGGATCCAAGCTCGAACCGCTCGGGATTCTTGCTCACAAAGGTGTCCACGTGCTCCTGCAACTCCTCAGGCGAGGTAGTTCTGGCAGGAATAACTGTGGCGCCCTCGTCTCTTCTCTTCCTTGTGCTCTCGACCACCTTAGGAGACTCCTCTTCTCCCGAACCAGCCTTCTTATCCACTGACTTGTCCTTCCTTTTGCTCTTTGTACGTTCCTTCTTTTCTCGGTTGTCAATCAAGGGCTCTTTGCTGGCGTTTGCGTCTACTTCTGAAGCACTTGGACCTCCCTCTTCTGCCTTCTTGGTCTTGTCTTCTTTCGCACTCAGGAGCTTGTTGCTCCCGGCTCCAGATGAAGTTGCTCCAGGCACTGGTAGCGCCGGTGGTGGAGGTATCACCTGGTTGACCTCCACGAGATCCTGCAGGGCCCCCACGCAATCCCGCAGTGCCTTGAGGGCTGCCGCCTCTTGCACCGGGACCAGCTTCCCCAGGCCAAGTAGAAACCCTATGCGGGAGTGGGTTCTGCAGCAGGCACAAGGATGACCCAGGAAGACACGGCAGAAGGGGCAAGTCATATACTATCCTTTGAACGGAAACACTACGGACCAAGTACAGTTCTGCATCTTAACATCCGGGGCCGGTGATTCATATATATATATATATAATCCCTGTTGGAATTCGAACCAAACCTGGGGGTTCCATTCTATAGGGACTAAAACGCAAACCCAGGACTAAGGGTGGGGGATTTTACCTATAGAATAGAAACCCAAGAAAGCCAACAGCACCCTGCCACTCCTATAAAATGAAAACCCAGCAACATACTGGCCACTGCTTCTAACAGATAATCCACTATAAAATGAAAACCTGAGTCCAAGTGATTAGGAAAAAGACACCCTATAGAATAGAAAACTGGGTTTGCAATGCCTTAAGTTTGGTTTCACTTTTTGGATCTGGGCTGGCACCATTCCACAAAAGAATATACTTGGTGACTATTTTACAGGGGGGGCTTGGATTTCCATTTTAAAGGAGCAGCCCTGCACAAAACTGATTCGTTAACAGTGTTGATTACTTATTTGTTTGCAGTATGTGTCAATATTTTTCAGTATCATACAGCATTCACAATATTATTGCCCACTGACACCTCCCCTTCCACCCCTATAAAATGAAAACCCAGCCTCATACCCACCGCTTCTAAACAAATCATCCACTATAGAATGAAAACCTGAGTCCAAGTGATTAGGAAAAAGACCCCCTATAGAATAGAACACTGGGTTTGCAATGCCTTAAGTTTGGTTTCACTTTTTGGATCTGGGCTGGCACCATTCCACAAAAGAATATACTTGGTGACTATTTTAAAGAGGGGGGTTGGATTTCCATTTTAAAGGAGCAGCCCTGCACAAAACTGATTCGTTAACAGTGTTGATTACTTATTTGTTTGCAGTATGTGTCAATATTTTACAATATCATACAGCATTTACAATATTATTGCCCACTGACACCTCCCCTTCCACTCCTATAAAATGAAAACCCAGCCTCATACCCACCTCTTCTAACAAATCATCCACTATAGAATGAAAACCTGAGTCCAAGTGATTAGGAAAAAGACCCCCTATAGAATAGAAAACTGGGTTTGCAATGCCTTAAGTTTTGTTTCACTTTTTGGATCTGGGCTGGCACCATTCCACAAAAGAATATACTTGGTGACTATTTTACAGAGGGGGGTTGGATTTCCATTTTAAAGGAGCAGCCCTGCACAAAACTGATTCGTTAACAGTGTTGATTACTTATTCGTTTGCAGTATGTGTCAATATTTTATAGTATCATACAGCATTTACAATATTATTGCCCACTGACACCTCCCCTTCCACTCCTATAAAATGAAAAACCAGCCTCATACCCACCGCTTCTAACAAATAATCCACTATAGAATGAAAACCTGAGTCCAATGGTCCAAGTGATTAGGAAAAATTATCCCCTATAGAATAGAAAACTGGGTTTGCAATGCCTTAAGTTTTGTTTCACTTTTTGGATCTGGGCTGGCACCATTCCGGAAAAGAATATACTTGGTGACTATTTTACAGAGGGGGGTTGGATTTCCATTTTAAAGGAGCAGCCCTGCACAAAACTGATTCGTTAACAGTGTTGATTACTTATTTGTTTGCAGTATGTGTCAATATTTTACAATATCATACAGCATTTACAATATTATTGCCCACTGACGCCTCCCCTTCCACTCCTATAAAATGAAAATCCAGCCTCATACCCACCGCTTCTAACAAATAATCCACTATAGAATGAAAACCTGAGTCCAATGGTCCAAGTGATTAGGAAAAAGACCCCCTATAGAATAGAAAACTGGGTTTGCAATGCCTTAAGTTTTGTTTCACTTTTTGGATCTGGGCTGGCACCATTCCACAAAAGAATATACTTGGTGACTATTTTACAGAGGGGGGTTGGATTTCCATTTTAATGGAGCAGCCCTGCACAAAACTGATTCGTTAACAGTGTTGATTACTTATTCGTTTGCAGTATGTGTCAATATTTTACAGTATCATACAGCATTTACAACATTATTGCCCACTGACACCTCCCCTTCCACTCCTATAAAATGAAAACCCAGCCTCATACCCACCGCTTCTAACAGGTAATCCACTATAGAATGAAAACCTGAGTCCAATGGTCCAAGTGATTAGGAAAAAGACCCCCTATAGAATAGAAACCTGGGTTTGCAATGCCTTAAGTTTTGTTTCACTTTTTGGATCTGGGCTGGCACCATTCCACAAAAGAATATACTTGGTGACTATTTTACAGAGGGGGGTTGGATTTCCATTTTAAAGGAGCAGCCCTGCACAAAACTGATTCGTTAACAGTGTTGGTTACTTATTTGTTTGCAGTATGTGTCAATATTTTACAATATCATACAGCATTTACAATATTATTGCCCACTGACACCTCCCCTTCCACTCCTATAAAATGAAAACCCAGCCTCATACCCACCGCTTCTAAACAAATCATCCACTATAGAATGAAAACCTGAGTCCAAGTGATTAGGAAAAAGACCCCCTATAGAATAGAAACCTGGGTTTGCAATGCCTTAAGTTTTGTTTCACTTTTTGGATCTGGGCTGGCACCATTCCACAAAAGAATATATTTGGTGACTATTTTACAGAGGGGGTTGGATTTCCATTTTAAAGGAGCAGCCCTGCACAAAACTGATTCGTTAACAGTGTTGATTACTTATTTGTTTGCAGTATGTGTCAATATTTTACAGTATCATACAGCATTTACAATATTATTGCCCACTGACACCTCCCCTTCCACTCCTATAAAATGAAAACCCAGCCTCATACCCACCGCTTCTAAACAAATCATCCACTATAGAATGAAAACCTGAGTCCAAGTGATTAGGAAAAAAACACCTATAGAATAGAACACTGGGTTTGCAATGCCTCAAGTTTGGTGTCCCTTTTGGGTATGTAAACTGGATGGGCACAATCCAGGTACCATTCTATAGTAAACACTGGCCTACCAGCCTCATCTCTATAGAATCGTACCCCCAGGTGATCTATTTTATAGAGATTTTTCCAAGGAGGATTATATATATAGAATTGTGTGTTGAACTTGGCATGTGTATATACCCCGGGCCAGGTTAACATAGAGCCCGCTGGCACCAAAGCAAAGATTTAACGTTCAAGTCGTGTCGTTGTGAACCCCCGGGGGGAGTGGATACATGCCTGAAACACGATTTACAGCTCTTGAAAAATAAATCTCAAAATGTGACCAAAAAACACAGGAGGTCAAACAAAGATGGAACCCCTAGGGAGCCTCAAGTAGCAAGGTTTTTCAGATTCTGTGATTAGGAATTGGTTTCTGGCCCTTGCAAAATGGTAGGTACCCCTACTAACCAATACTCCCCGTGACGTTGGGACACCCGCAGCGAACGAAACATGGAACCCAATACTGCGAGAGGATCAAATGTTTGTTCTTCTGGATACACTACAATGGTTCACTAACTCGAAATCATGCCATTTTGGGATAGTCAAGCCTACTACCCAATATTTCCCCGTGAGGCTGGGAAACCACAGCGAACTAAACATGGAGCCCAATACTGTAAGAGGATACACTGTTTTTTTTCTGGATGCACTACAATGGTCCATTAACTTGAAATCAGGTTACTTTGGGATAGTTAAGCCTACTACCCAATTATGTCCCCGTGAGGCTGGCAAACCCACAGGGAACTAAACATGGGACCCAATATGGCAAGAGGATCAAATGCTCTTTTTTCCTGGACGCACCTGGAATGTTAAACCTATACTACCCAATATTTCCCGTGAGGCTGGGAAACCATAGCGAACTAAACATGGAACCCAATACTGCAAAAGGATCAAATGCTTTTTTTCCTGGACACACCTGGAATGTTAAGCCTACTGCCCAATATTTCTCCGTGAGGTTGGGAAACCGACAGAGAACTAAACATGGAACTACTGACTGCAAGAGGATCAAAAACTTTTTTCTGGATACAAGTGCAATGTTATAAGCCTACTACCCAATATTTCTCCGTGAGGCTGGGAAACCCACAGCGAACTAAACATGGAACCCAATACTGCAACAAAATCAAATTGTTTTTTTGGACGCACTGCAATAATGTTGTATAAGCCTACTACCCAATGTGTCCCCTTGAGGCTGGGAAACCCACAGGGAATTAAACATGGAGCCCAATACTGCAAGGGGATCCAATGCTTTTTTCCTCGAACAGTGTGTCCACACTGAGGGGTTTTTACCGTAGTGGCAAAGGCCTGGTGTGGTCAAGGTGCGTGATCTTGTCGGCGGCTTTTTTCCTCTAAATTCTCGCATGAAGTGGCTCTTGTTGAATGTCCATCTTGCTTTCGACTGCGCAGGCTCGCGCAAAGTGGAGGTCGGCCTTTTTTCCTGTAAATTCACGTGTAATAAAATTCCCCTCTGAGATGTCCATGTGTGTTTCGACTGCGCAGGCTCGCACGGATTGGAGCCGCGACGGCGGTCATGTCGAAAGTTGTCGTTTTACCAGCGCGCCGTGCTCGGTTTTTGAGCCATGTTCATTTCGTGTGGCAGGCGTGGGGCATCCGGGGCATTTGGAGGTCTGAAACGTGGTTTTGTGTGGCAGGCACAGGACATCGGGCACTTTTTCATTCGCGTGGCACGCGTGGGGCATTCTGCGCGTTGCTAAAACGTTTTGGAATCTTCTGCTACAGCACCCTTATCCTGTGTGAGAACGTTGCAGCCCAGGGGTCTTCGCGGCTGTGCGAGACAACGGAAGAGACATGTGACATCCGTGGCATCCAGCTCGGTCACCATCGGTTCGTGCCTGGCCCTGCTCGTCTGGTCTTGTCGTGTCCCTTTGTTTCGTTTGTCTTGTCTCCTTAGTCTTGTCTTCTTACTTTGTGCGCGCGTCTGGCATCTACGCATCCTCTCTGGCTGGGTTCGTCCATTTCAAGAGCGCTTCCCGGGAATGCTGCTGTGCGGTTTCTGCTTCTTGCACGTACTGCGCGGCAAACGCAGTTGGGAATAGAAATTTCAACACGCCGAACTTATTTCATCTACTTCTCCGGTCACTAATTTCTGCTCCATGCTATCTCTCCTGCTTCGTTCTTGTAGCTCTTTGTTAGCGGCCGTATCCACATTATCCACATCTATATGATCCTTCATCTTTTGGATTGTCACCTTTCTATTCCCTTATGTATTCTCTATTCCCACACTGTTTGGGGTCTCTTGCCGGGAGAGTCTTTTTTCCGCCGTCAGCCGGGGCCGGATCTTCTCACAGTCCGCCATGGGACGGACGTCCAGGTTGTAGCTACCAACCTGACACGCCGTGGCCGTGGCTAGGCGCTAAAAATGAATGGTTCACCACTAAGACATGGTGGCTGTGAAACCAAAAAATGGTGGGTTTTCTACTAAACATGGTGGTTTAGATACTATAACAATGGGGATTTAGGCACTAGAAATGGAGATTTAACACTCCAAAACTTAGATTCAACTATCAGTTAATAAGCCGCTAACACGCCATTGCCCATTAACACCTTGGGTTTAGCCACGAACCATATTTTATATACTTCATAAAAGTCACTACTGGGCTATGGTAGGTATCTCTTGCGTAACTGGATTTAATGGGAATCCATAGGGAATTCAAAAATATACGTGGATGGTGATCTAGAGTCTTATAAACGAACTTGTATCTCGGGGGAAGCGCGATATAGAAGTTCTTGACACCGTATTCGATGGGGATATTGATGGAAGATCTGATGGAAACATGATCTGGGATATAACTAACCAGTAACTTAACTTGATAATATGATATTTGGGTGCATCTGACATGTTAATCTTTGTTTTTGAGAAAATGATCATAATCCATTGGGATTGGGGTTACCCTTTGATCAAACAAACCAATATCTCTGTGTAAGTGCGTTGAACTAGAAAAGTCAATAACCCAACAGCTTTGGACATAGCCTGACATAGCCATGGTTTGCGGGCTAGCTGAGTAGTGACCATGTGGTAACCATAAGTTTGTATGTCTTAGGTATACTAGCTGGGCTATATAGACATATCCCAATTGACTTGATGACAGATCTAAGTCGGTATTTAATAGCCAAACAAGATGGTTATCTAAGTTCAAACATGAATGTAAACATGTGATTGTCGAAAACGAAACGCTTGACATGAAACAATATGGGTAATCACATGCTAGGCAGCCCAGGGGTTTGACTCATATGGGAGGAACGCTTGCTGCCACAATGATGGGATGGAATTCATCGAAACAACAACATCGATGAACTTTGGCAGCGCATAGCAGGACGCTTTCTGATTCATCCTACTCCTACCAGGAAACATAAAAACACAGAATTTATGCAACATATCAAAATGTCTTTGAAGTGCATCTGATTATCTCCATCAACAATCTCGGGTTTCTTTGACCTGCCAACACTCCCGAACTAGATCCCAAATGGTTTTTCTCGGTTGGAATCCGAAACCAGCGGCAGGATTGGTGCTGCTCATCGAGTTGAACCTTGGGAACATCATCGAACTAAGGCAGGGTGGTTTTCCAACAAACCATCGAGTTGATTGCCGGAGGGTGAACTGCATGGTGGTTGAAAAACTCACCTTTTCAAAACCTGCCTGTCAGTTGGGATCATCATCTTTGACAAATGCTAACAATAACCAAAGTTTGAAACCACCAGCTATGCAGCAAAAGAAAGAAAACAAGCAGGGAAGCGCTCGGCGTGGGTTGTGATTGCGCTGGCCACAGTAAACCATAGACTATGCCACCATACTGTTGGTCATCTGGTTGCTGCATCATCTATTGATGGTTGATATCCCACTGCTGGCGTGTTGCCATCCGTGGCCCTAGGACATAAATATGCAGGTTGGAAGTCAATCTACGTATACAACATGTTCTCATTACATCCCCCATGTATAGCCCGCTAGATGCTTTGCGGCCGACTTTATAGAGAATAGCCTGGTATAAACTGGAATGGCCACATGTCTGGAGTCTATAAAGTGGAAAGCCAACATGTTTTGTCTATAAAGTCAAAATCCAACGTTTGTATAAAGTCGCCTGGCCGCGTAAAAACATAAAACTCGATGCAGGTTTTTGAGGGTACTTGTGAACATGTCCCATGACTATAAAGTGAGATGCCGAACATCCAGATAGTAATACTTGTGCAGAACAGTGGCACTATAATGTGGATTTCCGGCTAAACAACGATCGTTGTAGTAGCGATGATTTTCTTAATCGCGACGATGGCAGCATCGACATGATTGTCTATAAAGTTGAGGGGCCACGTTCAAACCTTGGGGGAATATCATCAATCTCATCGATGGGGAACCCAAAAGACTTCGAATGACTTCGAAGCCGAACGAAACCGACAGCCAGACAAATATCTATATCGAAGTCGTTAACAGAATCTATGGTAAAACAAAATCTATGTTGGACTGGCCACTTTATACCCCCTCCCCCAACAGAGAATGCCTCTAACACACTTTCCTTTGAAAGGGGTCCTTGGGGTGAAAGGGGTCCTGGTCGCGCCGCGCGCGCGCGCGCCAAAATGGCTCCAATTTTGACACCTTTTTGCGCGCGCGCGCGGCGCGCCCAGGACCCCATTCACCCTGAGGACCCCTTTCAAGGGAAATCTTCTTCTCTATAAAGTGGCCAGTCCAGGTAAAACCCCTGAAAAAACAGAATCTATGTTGGACTGGCCACTTTATACCCCCTCCCCCAACAGAGAATGCCTCTATAAAGTGGCCAGTCCAGGTAAAACCCCTGAAAAAACAGAATCTATGTTGGACTGGCCACTTTATACCCCCTCCCCCAACAGAGAATGCCTCTATAAAGTGGCCAGTCCAGGTAAAACCCCTGAAAAAACACATTTTTACCTGGAATGGCCACTTTATACCCCCTCCCCCAACAGAGAATGCCTCTATAAAGTGGCCAGTCCAGGTAAAACCCCTGAAAAAACACATTTTTACCTGGAATGGCCACTTTATACCCCAGCCAGTGGGCTCCAGGACTTTGACCCGGAAACGGAAGGACTGACAACAAGGTAAAGGGGGAAAACTACAACGGAGAGGTACAACGGGAAGGCTACCACAAGAAAATGAGACATGTCACGTTTATATACGTTTATTGTTTTCAATGTGTCATATAGATTGGCGATGATTGGTATATTGAATATGTTGTAGATGTATTTTGGAACATATGTATACCTATGATTCACACATCAATATAAATATATATAAATCATAAACACATGCCAAACCAAAAACTTTTAGCTGAGTATTGTATTCCCAATCTGTTGGCAAATGTCCAGCCGATTCACCATGCGTGACCCAACAAGATTCAAACTATGGATTGTTTACTTTCGAAAATATTTTTTTACTGGTTCTTGCAAACAATTTTATAGAGGATGGGCATGGACCGGCCAGTTTATACAGAGGGTGGGGCTGCCAGAAATGACGTGATCAAGCCACTTTATAGAGCTGAACTTTCTTGCAAACCATTTTATAGAGGATGGGCATGTGGCCGTGGTTTTGGTCCATAGATGTCCATAGATTTTTAGGATGATTTTGGGAGATTGTCGTCATAGATATACGTAGATTCACCCAGTATTTTTTTTCGAAAGTAAACAATCCATAGTTTGAATCTTGTTGGGTCACGCATGAGGTGAATCGGCTGGACATTTGCCAACAGATTGGGAATACAATACTCAGCTAAAAGTTTTTGGTTTGGCATGTGTTTATGATTATATATATATATATTTATATTGATGTGTGAATCATAGGTATACATATGTTCCAAAATACATCTACAACATATTCAATATACCAATCATCGCCAATCTATATGACACATTGAAAACAATAAACGTATATAAACGTGACATGTCTCATTTTCTTGTGGTAGCCTTCCCGTTGTACCTCTCCGTTGTAGTTTTCCCCCTTTACCTTGTTGTCAGTCCTTCCGTTTCCGGGTCAAAGTCCTGGAGCCCACTGGCTGGGGTATAAAGTGGCCATTCCAGGTAAAAATGTGTTTTTTCAGGGGTTTTACCTGGACTGGCCACTTTATAGAGGCATTCTCTGTTGGGGGAGGGGGTATAAAGTGGCCAGTCCAACATAATTCTGTTTTTTCAGGGGTTTTACCTGGACTGGCCACTTTATAGAGGCATTCTCTGTTGGGGGAGGGGGTATAAAGTGGCCAGTCCAACATAGATTCTGTTTTTTCAGGGGTTTTACCTGGACTGGCCACTTTATAGAGGCATTCTCTGTTGGGGGAGGGGGTATAAAGTGGCCAGTCCAACATAGATTCTGTTTTTTCAGGGGTTTTACCTGGACTGGCCACTTTATAGAGGCATTCTCTGTTTGGGGAGGGGGTATAAAGTGGCCAGTCCAACATAGATTCTGTTTTTTCAGGGGTTTTACCTGGACTGGCCACTTTATAGAGAAGAAGATTTCCCTTGAAAGGGGTCCTCAGGGTGAATGGGGTCCTGGGCAGCTCTATAAAGTGATTTGGGTGATGTATCTCATGACTCTATAAAATGCTCTGCCGCAATTTTCTTTCTATAAAGTGCCCTGGATGCAGCACAAATTCTTCTTCTTAAAGGGCAAGTTTCACTCTATAAAGTGCTTTGCCATGTATACAGCCCCAACAGAAAGATATTGGCCCGAAATCATTGGGGAGACATGTTTCTATAAAGTGGATGGTGTGACATATTATGGCCATTCTTTGAAGGGAACCAACGGTCTATAAAATGCATTGCCGCATATATTGAGTCGTTTCCTTGTGGGGAACCAGCCGGGTATAAACTGGAAAGCCAACGTTGCTATAAAGTCATCTTCCAGGTCCAAGGGCATGTTTCTCGCGCAAAACACGGCTTTATCCCCCATTGTCGGTATATAAAGTGGCGACCGGAAACCCACTTTATAAGCGCAAAGGATGTCCACTTTATAGTGAGCTATACATGGGGGATCTCATTACTGATTATAAAAATCAACTATTGATGGTTTGTATCCAAGGATGGCTCATATCCAAGGGCTGCTAGTTCATGTCCCACGGCTGCTGTTGCATGTCCCACGGATGGTTTGTCAATCATAAATCCTCATGTGCCTTAGTGAAAGCCCAGTACCTTATGTTCCAGGTGACATAGCACTGCTGAGAAATCATACTCTTAATCATCCAAAACCGGGGGATGCATGGCCATCTATAAATGAAACAGTGCATTTTTTCTTTCTCATGGCTAAGCCAACGGTATTCTTAGATTCCTTGTATTGTACATCTTTTGAGTGGCGCATGGAACAACCTTGATCAACATAGCCAAAAATCATTGTCACCCAAGCATTCACCAGTCACTTTGCCTAGAGTTTTTTGATGAACATCCCTCTATTTCAAATGATTGAAACGGGTAAAGGTCAAGCTGTGTCAATGTCAGCCCTGGATGGGCCCTGGATTCATAAATCCTGGAGGTCATCGAAAAGGGTGACAAGGGTGATGGACTGCTACTGTAAAACAAATGGATCTCCCCAACAAAGCAATTGTTTGACAGTAGGACACACGTACTAACCTCAAATACAGTACCCTTCAAAGAAGTTATGTGCTAGTGTGATGTCAAACAGGTCTTGGTTAAATAGCGAAAACAAAATGGCACAGGAATCAACCATCAAAGATCAGTCACGATATACCGTATGATACACTCTTCAAGGCAGAAAACACAATAACAACACATAGAAAAACCCTCATAGATAATTTGCATGTGTTTTTTCGCCACATCATGTTGGATTCCCAAAAGGTGAAAACTACACCCATAAATCAGCCGTCAGGGGGTTAGGATTTTACATCTATGTAAAAGTGATGGGGATATATTCTGACCCATTTGCATACCATTTTACAGTCATGCGTGGATATATCAGCAAAAAATAGTATAAACCCTATGGGATGTTTATGCATTTCTGATTCATATGTGATATACATGTATACATTCATCGTTGCGAGCTCATTCTCTACATTTTGCATCCCATGCTCAACCTCCATTTGTCTGAGCTCTTATCATAGGGATTCAACATGATTCAACCAGCCCCAGAAAAGGTGGCCCCGAAATGGCTGTTGGTGGTTCAGATTCGCTTCAGCTAGGCTCAAACATTCTTGGGGTCCACCTTTGGAAGGATGATCCCATTGTTTTATACCACATGTTTGTTTGTTAAATCAAATCTATTGCATCGTATTATAAACATTTCTATGCCATTATCAATGGTATTATATCCCCACCATATCCAGACTATATCCATTTATATCCCATTGTATCCCTACGATTCTTGATTTTCGACCACACATTTCCACCAAGCAACGACTGCACCACCGCTGGGATCCAACGCTTGGCGGTGCTGCTGTTGTAGCTGACACTGGGCCCCGGGGGCCACGCCTGGGTGTAGCTCATATGAATAGGGAAGGGATGAGGAAGTTTAGGTAACTTTAGTAAGTCTTAGATTTTTAGAAACTAATCATGTGGCTAAGAAGAACATGATGGTAGCTTCAGGAAATCTTAGATTTTTAGATTCTTTCAATATTGAACCTAAAATATGTAAAGTGAAGCTAAAATATGTAAATTGCACTAGCAAGTGAAATTGATAACAATCACATCGCACTGATATTGCATACCGCCTGATCGAAAATCTATTTGCTCACTTTGTGGCCCATACGTAGGTTATGCAAAATACTTGTCAATACTTAACAGAGATTGAGGCTATCCTATCTGGCGACCAATCGCTGATCATCTAAATGATGTCTGAAACATTCTGAAACCGGCAAATTCATGTCCAACCGTTTCAAAATGTTTCAAACTCACCCGAATCCCTAACCAATCAAGAATCGCGTTCGTGGTTGATTGCTTTAACATGCTTTAAAGATCACAAGCGGGACTTTGAAACCAGAGTTATGGCAAGTGTCCCAATCGTCAAATCAGGAAATTTCAAATCATCAAATGCTGTATGAATCATGATGAATCAGTCAGATATGTTCACTCATGACAAAAATCATCCGTCTGCAAAACAAGGAATGTTCCTTGGTGTTTCTCACCTTTTCAGCACCTCCGCATATCGCATGTAACGATTTTTTTTGCTTTGTAATATATGCTGGGCATGAACATGTCCCCCATCGAACTTCTCAAGAATTGGCCCATTCCATTGCCAAGCTTGGATGCCCTAGTACCAAACAAAACATTCCCTATATATATATATATATGCACAATATATATATATATAGATTCCTATTTATGACACAAAAATCAGTAAGTACCAAACTATACGAAAGGTACATTTCACCAAAGCTTCCCACGATTCCCCCATCCTTCACCAGGAACAGCATTCCCCGGCATCGCCCGGTGCCTCTGCCTCAGCCACCTCCGGAGATGGCGAGATGTTCTCGAGGGAGGCGTGTTTTTTGATGTCCAGATCCACCCTGAGAGCCAACCCAAGATGCCAATGGACCAATGGATACCGATGGATACCCTGGGAATCAAAACTATCATGTTGGATAGGTAAATATGTCATAATATGTCTATGGATGGATGAACCGGTGCTTTTATAGGAAATCCACAGGTTTTCAGGGTTTTGGGATGTTTTTGGCCCCGATCTACTTGGTGATTGAGCCACCCATCTGAAAATATGCGAAAGTCATGAGGGATCACCATCACAGGAACGAAACCACCCATCAGGATAAATGGAACTATAATAGATGAACAAAGGGAGTTGGATAGATAGGCAGACGAATACATAATCAGTGGGGCACAATTCCAGTCAGCCTTGAAGATTGAGTTGGAAGAACTGCAACATTAACCATGGTTCCAGTTACAAAGTGTGCCATTCATCCAAATTCCAGCTATCACCCAACATCTGTCTACATCCCCCTGCTTGTTCAATTATACACACCCCACTGCGCCATACACATGCCTATCCCACCAAATTCCCACATACAAGCGCTCTAACAAATCAGAATAAACACCCAAAAAATACCCCGAGTTCCCCCAGGTTGGAACTGCATGACCTGTCATTCCCAGCGTTGTTTTATAGTCATCACCGCATGATGTTCTTCCGCCCTCTGAGTTTCCGCACGTGCCATCACCATGCACCTTGGTGAGGCAGGCCGGTAGCCAGCGACCTCCATGGGTGGAGGACCAGTAACGACAGCCTCGGAACACGCCGGGCGTGTGAAACGGAATGGTGGGGGGAGGATCCCCAGGTTGGTGGGAAACATGAAGATGAATCACTGGATTTGGGGCACAATTTTGGGGGCACCTTCTTCTCAAATAAGTTGAGGAAATCAGTATCATGTGGTTGGGAAACTTTGATTGTAACTTCTTAGTTTTCAAGTTTTGGATGGGAAATGTGGATGCCCATGGCTCTTTCGCTCCCTCCTGCATAGCCACGTAAAGACAGTCAATCAACATGATGCGTCCCCAGCGCAATCACAAAGTTCAGGAATTGTTTCTTTCCCAGCAATCCCCACTAACTTTGTGGATTCGGAAAATCATTTGCCAATAATAGTGGATTGTAAACAAATAGAACAACTCTACGAAATGCGTGGGTCCACAGATTGGTTTGTGGAATCCCCCCAATTTAGCATGGCAACATATAACCCAACAAACTAGAAACCTAAAATCAACACAATGTGGTCCTGTAAGCAATGATACCCTCTGGTAATTCAACAATTTCCTATAGAAAATCACCATATGGGTCATGGCTTCCATAGCTACCTCCGCCCCCGGCACCCACTGGATGTCAATGGCCACGCCGCGCATTCCTTTGACGATTGTCTGGTTGGCTGGCAACACGTCCATGGCAGCAGCAGTTTGAAGCCTCGACATGTGGGGCTGCGGGTTTCACCAACGAAAGTCACAACCTTGGACCTTGACCCTCATTGGGTAAATCAATAATGGTGTTCATTCAACCCAACCTTAAAGATAGATTTCCCAAAAATAAACGGGAAGAGTACCCACAACATGTGTAAGTACCTTTTACAAAATTATTTTTTGGTGATTCGAACATAATTTTCTTCATGGTTTGAATGAGTTGTGGATGTGAATTTTAAATGTGGATTGTTTTGCTTTGGTTGCTTCTGTTTCTGTTTTGTCTCTCCCGAGTCTCCGTGTTATCATTTCTCGTTGCTACCCCACATGTCTCCCATACTATGAGACATGGTGGGTATATGTTTCTTTATAAATTTGATTTTTAAATGTAGACCCTTACAGGAGCCCCCAGGACAGGGGTCCTGGAAGTTCATGTTTATTTGTGTGCCCAATTGTTTTTCTTCGTTTACCCCCCCACTAAACAAACATGGAACCACCGGAACCATTTGGACGAATCAAAAACATAGCTATACACATTTTTCCCCACACCTGCCAGGTGAGGGTCCTCGCCAGCTCCAGATTTGAGTGGGCCTCAGTGGGCACTGCCGGGCCTCAACCGCAAGCTCCAGATCGCACTGGGCAATGCCGGACGTGCCAGATTGCACTGGGCACTGCCGGACCTCAAAGGTCCGCGAGTGCCAGATCCCAGTGGGCACTGCCGGACCCGATCTGCGAGCCCCAGATCCCAGTAGTGGGAGTGCCGGACCTCAACCGCCAGCCCCAGATAGAATGTTAGATAGAATGTCGGAACAAATGTCAGATAGAATGCCAGAACATATGCCACATAGAATGCCAAATAGAATTCCAGACAGAATGCCAGATACAATGTTAGATAGAAAATGCTAGAACTTATGTCAGATAGAAAGCCAGATAGAATGTCAGAGTATATGTCAGATAGAATGCCAGATAGAATGTCAGATAAAATTTCAGATAGAATGTCAGCACATATGTCAGATAGAATGCCAGAAAATATGCCAGTTAGAATTCCAGACAGAATGCCAGATATGATGTCAGACAGAAAATGCCAGAACATATGTCAGAAAGAATGCCAGATAGAATGTCAGATAGAAGGTCAGAATAAATGTCAGATAGAATGCCAGATAGAATGTAAGAATGTATGTCAAGTAGAATGCCAGAATATATGTCAGATAAAATACCAGCATATATGTCAGATCGAATGCCAGAACATACGTCAGATAGAATGCCAGATAGAATGTCAGATAGAAAGCCAAACAGAATGCCAGATACAATGTCAACAAGAATGTCAGAAAGAATGTCAAATAGAATGCCAAAAAAATGGCCAGATAGAATACCAGATAGAATGTCAGAAAATATGTCAGATAAAATGCCAGAACATATGCCAGATAGAATGCCAGATAGAATCCCAGACAGAATGCAAGATATAATTTCAAATGGAAAATGCCAGAACAAATGTCAGATAGAAAGCCAGATAGAATGTCAGAATATATGTCAGATAGAATGCCAGATAGACTGTCAGAAAAAAATCAGATAGAATGTCAGCACATATGTCAGATAGAATGTCAGCACATATGTCAGATAGAATTTCAGACAGAATGCCAGAATTGATGTCAGATAGAAAATGCCAGAACATATGCCAGATAGAATGTCAAAGAATGCCAGACAGAATGCCAGATATCATGCCAGAAAGAATGTCGGAATACATGACAGATAGAATGCCAGATATTATGTCAGAAAGAATGTCAGAATATATGTCAGACAGAATGCCAGATTATATGTCAGAAAAAATGTCAGAATATGTCAGATAGAATGCCAGAATCTGTGTCAGATAGAGTGCCAGATAGGATGTCAGAAAGAATGTCAGAATATATTTCAGATAGAATGCCAGATATAATGTCACCAAGAATGTCAGAATATATTTCAGATAGAATGCCAGAACGTATGCCAGATAGAATGTCAGATAGAATGCCAGACAGAATGCCAGATATAATGTCAGCAAGAATGTCAGAATATATGTCAGATAGAATGCCAGAAATTCTGTCAGATAGACTGCAAGATAGAATGTCAGATAGAATGTCAAATACAATGTCAAAATAAATGCCTTGACATGCCATGGTGGGGATGACCCGAAGCAAAGTAAGTATCCTTAAAGTTATATTAATCGCATTCATATAATCAAACAGATATATACATCCATTCTGAAACCCAAACTGCAACAAGCCCGGCAGAGGTTCAAACCCAGAATATCCTATGTATCGATCAAACTTCTGCTGAACAACATCTGAATGGCAGAACTTTCAGACATTCAAACAACCCACCACTTGCTTTCTCAGAAACAACACCCCTGACAGTGTAGAAAAAAGAGAAAGCCGCCCTTTTTTTTATCACAATATTCGTATACAAATGTTGGTAAAGATGTCCAACTTATCCGTTGAAAAGAAAAAAGCACAATGAAGCACATGAAGCCAACGAGTGTCTTGGAGGCAAGTCCTTGGTGGTTTCCCATTGCCTTCAGCCAGCTGGCCTGTGCGCTTGTTGGGCTCGCTCCAGGTTGCGTTGGCTTTGTTGGATCATTTCGTGATTTGGACCGTGGAGCTCCTGCAGAGAAGAAATCCCAGCTTTGATGGAGCTCAACGGCTCCACAATGCCCTTGACTCTTCTATCGACATTAAGACTCCAAAATCCAGAAGCGACTACCAGCTGGACTGATGGATGGACCCAAGGCCACCAAGTGACAATCAACTGTTCCCTTGATTTCCCTTGTGACCCTGGCAGACGCCTCGAGGCCACGCAACTCGCGGAGATATAGCTGACCCGCCTGGACGTGAACACGGGCTGGTGAGTTCCCACAAAATCTGATGCGCCTTGCAACCGCATCACTGGGAATATTGCGACATCTCAGCATCGGTTTGGTAACCTCGGGTTGTATATGATGTACGGAAATATCCAAGAAGAATATATCAGTACACCTCCTGTTGAAAGCTTCAAAGAAAAGTTGTTTCACCAAGAGCAACGCAGCAACACGATCCGTTCGGTTCAGGAGGACGTCGCTGATTGTACCAGTATCACTTCGACTTCCCACATTTACAGCCCCTGATCCAAACGGAACTGCCACAAGCAACAGCGACCTGAAAAACCTTGCCTCTGCAAAGGATCGTTTCACCTCCAGAAGACTTGCCAGATTCCGGATGGAGAGGAGGGTCTCTGCATGCGAGGCTCCCAGAAGGTCTTCCTTTCTTTTCAGAACCTTGCGCAGAAGCTCCTCAGCCTCGGGTGTGCTGTGATCCGCAGCTGGCGTGAGGCCATGTGTTGGATGGCTGGAAGGTGATGCAGAAGATATGGCCCCCTGGCTGCGATGAAACATTTTGGCTCAACCTTCAAAAAACCCGCAAGTCTGACAGGGAAGTACTAGACACAGGATAGTGGTTACTGGGCTGATATTAAGGGCGGGATCTGCGACTGGTGAAGAAAGGAAGGCAAAAAGGGGGAAAAGTGGATGAGGGAAGGAGAAGAGAATTGACATAAAAGCTGGCGATTGCCACTCGCCACCTGTCAAGTAGGAAACATTAACTGCTATGCGGGTGCCATTGAAAAATTTTCAAAGCGTGATTTGTATCTGATTGAATCAAACCAGATCTATGACTTGATTTTTGCTGCTTCCAGCCTCATCGAGCCTTCCTTGCTCCTGCAGGAGGCCAGCGAAATTGCGGAGACAAATCAGCGTGCCTTCATGGTTCGGCCCGAGCTGGGCTTCGAAGCCATTAGTCGCTCTCCGGCACAAAGGCTCAGCCTCCGGACGAACTGCGGCGGGCAGATGTTGGGAGCCCCGCCTCTGTTGTTTCGATACATTTGATACCTTGTTGAAGGGGAAAATGACGCAAGCACCGCGGGACCAACAGGCCACACAGCCTGGACCCTGCAGCATCCTTTTTGTTTCGCATTTGATGGAAAACGGAGGCGTGAGCCAACAAGATCCAACAAGTACTTCACTGTGAGCTATTTTGTTTTGAAGGTATGCAAGGAAAGCTAGTTGGAGTTATGTCCATGAACCAGACCAACCAGATCTCAACATGTTGCCGGAATATCGCATGCTATTTCATGCTATTCTGCTGTGCAAACCACCTGTGTCATGCCCACTCACAAAAGATGAATATCACCCATGGACAGCCACACATCAGGCCTGAATGAAATTTGAAAGGCAGCTGATAGGCACTAATTAGCTCAGTTTTCAAAATTCCAGCGCCATTACGTGATCAGAACAAAACAGCTAACAAACCTACAAGTGAGGTGCGGCAAGGACTTGAGACCCAAGGAAGGGTATACGAACGCAATGCTGCAAGCACCTCCCTTGGAATTGGTTTGTTGGCATGGGTGAGCCAGCCCTAAATATCATCCATCAAGTCTACAGCGTCGGAGCCGAGGATGCACAAACCAGAAGTGGATGTGTAGCCGCTATTTCTGCCGAGAGAATTAGAACGGGAGACCGCATCCAGAAGAAACCGCTCACCAAACTTCACCAAACCATCCGAAATGCAGCATTCACAAGCATATCACCGCAACAAGGTCTCTGCAAGCCTCTGAATAAACCAGAACCCTGGAAAAGGACCTGGAAACGAGCAACCCTGGATTGATGGAATCTTTTTTTACCTGAAGAATCAATGGCCTCATGATGAAATCCCAGGTTGCCAACTCTGTCTACAGTTTCACTAAGTGGTCTGAAAGTCGGGTTTTGCTTTTCAAAAAATAGGTGTTCCAAAATTTGTCAATGGCGCAGGAAAGATTCACCATGAAATATGGTGAGACAAGAGTTGCGTGTTCTTCGGGCCTCTTGTGGACAACTTGTGGATAGTGCATACTTGTGGATTGGGCATTGTGGAGGTACCTTTACAGTGTGTAAGTCAGTCCTATCTCAGATGGACAGGATCATCCACATTAAAACATGACAGGACAAAATATGACTGTGACCCTGATAAAGATGTCAGGCTCATGATCATGACGGACAAAAATGAAGATGATGAAGACGACTCATCATCATCATCATCATCATCATCATCATCATCAACAACAACAACAGAAACAGCAGCAGACGCCACAACAACAACAACAACAACAACAACCACAACAACAAGAACAAGAACAAGAACAAGAACAAGAACAATAACAAGAACAAGAACAACAACATCAACATCAACAACCACAACCACAACCACAACAACCACCACCACCACAACGACAAAAACAGCAGCAGCAGCACCACCACCACCACCACCAACAACAACAACAACCACAACCACAACACCACCACCAACAACAACAACAGCAGCAGCAGCAACAACCACAACAACCACCACAACAGCCACCACAACAACCACCACAACAACAACAACAACGACAACAAAAACAGCAACACCACCACCACCACCAACAACAACAACAACCACAACAACAACAACAACAACACCAACAAAAGCGACAACGACAACAACAACAACAACAGCAGCAGCAGCAACAACCACAACAACCACCACAACAACCACCACAACAACCACCACAACAACCACCACCACAACAACAACCACAACCACAACCACAACAACAACAACAACAACAACAACAACCACAACCACAACCACAACCACAACAACAACAACGACAACGACAACAACAACAACAACAACAACAACAACAACAACAACAACAACAACGACAACGACAACGACAACGACAACGACAACAACAACAACAACGACAACGACAACGACAACGACAACAAGAACAAGAACAACAACAACAACAACAACAACAACAACAACAACAACAACAACAACAACAACAACAACAACAAGAACAAGAAGAATGACCGTGTAGTGCAATGGTTCCCTGCAACCCTGATCCGAGCAGACCCGCAAGCAACGACGCAAGTCGACCGAGAATCCATCGCCTCTGCAAAGCAGCCTTTGGCCTGCAGAAGAAGTGCCAGGTTGTCGACAGAGACGAGGGTGGCTGGATGCGTGGATCCCAGCTGATCCTCGTTTCCTTTCAGCGCCCTGCGATAAAGCTCCTCCGCCTGGCCCAGGGTGGGTTGTGGATGGATGGCAGCAGAGTGGCGCCCCGCCACTGGCGTGAGGCAATATCTTGGATGGTGGCCCCCTGATAATTCAAGCATCAAAATCAAAACCCGCAAATCTGAGAATCTGATCTGCATGGGGTAGGATGGCGGGAACCAAGAAGCTAGGGTGAAGGCTTTCCTTGGACCGCGTGTAATCTGGCACGCATGGCCAGAGTTTTGACAGGGCTATCAAGGTTCACTTCTTGCAAAACAATGTTGGTCTACCCTTGCGCAAAAGGCATGTACGGCTGTCATGATCCCACAGCCCATCCCAACGAGTTACAGTAAATGCAATCTGGATCAATCTGGTATCTATAGCCGAAGCCTGCATTCCGGTGAGTTTGCGACCCTGGCACTGCCCAGTTGATTGGCCCATGTCTTGCGTGGTCAACTCACCAAACCCTTGTCCACAGGAGAAATGCCTTTCCCACGACGCTTCCGCAACCTGGCCTCCTCCAACTTACCCTGCTTCTTCAAGAGAGAGGCCAAGTTGTTCACGAAAGTGAGCGTCTCCGGATGTTGCGGCCCCAGTTGGGACTCTCCACCTTCCAAGGCTCCACAACAGCTCTTCGGCCTGGCTGGTCGAGCCGGAAGGTGTCGAAACGTGGCCCCATGCAGGTCTCGTGGCTTCGTTGCTGGTTTATTGAAAGAGAAGAACGGCCAACAAGGGCCACAATTTTTGGACTAGTGGTGAGAAAATACTGATCCAAGCGCTCATCAAGCGCTCTTTGAATTCAGAACCGGATTCCAAGAAAACGGCAATATCAATCAATTTACTCACATCATCGCTCACACTACTGGCCTGCCCTCATGAAACTTTACGGAGATGGCTATGGCTCGGAAGATCTGCCATCTCAAACGCCCTTCAGAATCATCAAGGTAACGCGATTAACATTGCTAAACAATGGTCTTAAAAAACCTGCCGATAGCATGTAGGTAGTCTGGATTGCTTGTAGTAAAAAAAATATCCCTATACAAATTCACTTGAATTGGTGATGCTGTTACAGTCAAGTAGTGGCTACCCGGTCATCTCAAACCGTACATGTCACATGAACATCACAAATTTCACATGGCAATAGAGGATGTGGGCCTATTACAGTACCTGGTGGCAACCTTTTGGCCGCTCGTGTTTTGTTGTGTTTTGAAGATATGTCGATTCAAGTTCATTGCTGTATGTAAACTTTCATGGACTCCTCACATAAACACCTGGCACATGATCATTCCCATTTGGCTAATTTGGCTTCTTTGGATCCTGTCTTCTACCTTTTCTTCTGTAGCGAGACTTTCACGCTTCTGGGACAATCGTTGCCTATTTTCATAGGCCTCGGCCGCCCATTTTGAAATGCCTTTGTTACATATGTCTTATCGCAGTTGGTCCGGAAACACTTGCATATAAAGAATCAAGAGTCCAGATTTAACAGCTTAAAGAGGTGTTGGTGTAGTGAAGCAGGGTCTTACAATGAATTTTCCTCAGTTGGTGAGTCATAGCTCATAACCTTTCCAGCTTGGGTCAGCATGTCCAACCACGTCAATGACTGTTGCCATTTGTGTTCGAGGGGACCGTTGAGCCACTTCTTGTGGCTGGATTTCGTGAGATCGAAGCGGTGCGATGGAAAAGCGTGCGCGAGCCTTGCAAGCTATTGACTGGTGAGTGTATAGTACCTGTTCTTGTCAGTGATTGCTCCACTACCACCTGATGGCGGAGACTGAATTGCGCGATGCCGTTGAAGAGTTCCTTTTCATGCTCAAGCGCCAACCAAATGAGGGTGCGACTTCTTTTTCATCTAGGTTCCGAACACATCTGGATAGGGTTCAGATCAGATTTTGATAGATAAAAAACGAGATGCAAGAGGGAAGCCGCGCCAAAAAAATCTGGAAAGTCATCACCCTAAGACTCCAACATTAGTAATTCATTCGCCCAGAATTTTACGCAAAATTAGCTGTTTTTCTAACGTTATTTTAGGTACTAGTAAAAAATACCAACATTAGTAAATTTTTAAATTTTACTAATGTTTTACTAATGTTAGTTAGTAAATGATTTTACTAGCATTTGCCAGCGCTAGTAAAAATGTTTACTAACATTAGTAAAATCATTTACTAACGTTAGTAAAATTGTTTCTTGGTCTAAAAATTGATGATTTTCTTGTGTTGGTGATATTTTTTCGATGGGTATTTGGATTTTTTGATATGTTTGTGCTACTGTAGTAAAAAAAATGTATTTAAGTAATCATTAATGACTTTATCTGAAGTTGTATCACAGGCTTTGCTTGGGACTTTACTTGAGACTTTACTTGAAATGATGTACTTGAGACTTTACTTGTGGTTACCTTTTTTGTTTTTGATATGTCCATATTATGGGCCTGTTGATGTTCTGTGTTTACTTGCGCATTGGAGGGAAATCAATGTTTGCAAATCAATGTTTTCATTGAACACATGTAAAAAGGTTCCCTACGTCTGCAAATCTAGTAAAGTACCCTAAGTCTGCAAAATTAGTAAATTTGAAGATTTACTAAGGGTATTTTTTGTTATGTTCTTGATATTAGTAAATCTGGTCAAAAAGGAAAAGTGCATCAAAAGTGCGTCAAAAGTACGCGACTTAAAAAAAAAGGTGACATTTTTCAAAAAAGTGCGCGACTTGTTTTGTATATTTTTCCGATTGTCTTTGTTTTGCAAGAAAATTATCAACATTTTTGGAGACATGTAGTGCCTGAGTGCAAGAAAAATGTATTTTGTTTGAAATTCAGTCTCCAGGACTTGGATGATTGGAAAGATTTCTTTAAAGATATTTGAAAGATTTGATGAGTGTTGTCAGTGCACAAAGAAATGAGGTTCACTTCAAAGATTGGCAAATTTGCACATTGCAAACAAACAAACGTAAAGTCCATCTATCTCTCATAATGCCTAAGTTGTTTTAGTGTACATGTGTATAGGGATATCTCAAAAAGAGATGTTTTTTGATTCAACACAGGTACCTTAAATCAAAGGTACTTTAAGGAAGCTTAAGGTACCTTTGGAAGCTCAAGCAGCAAACATTTCTTGCTCAAACTTCTTTTTATCACTAAGACAAATGCCTTAAGAACTGGATACATCCATGGAGATACTTCCCAAACAACCTTACATTTGACGGAATTTACTTTTGGAGACTTACATAGGGTATCTGTGGGGATATTTACATTTGGGGATTTACCTGACGTATCTATAAAAATGCTTCCCAAACAAGTTTGCATGTCAAGGTATTTACTTCTGAAGATTTACATCAGGTACCTGTGGAGATGCTTCAAACCTAAAGTGAGATCAAATGGATGTAGCCTTGAATTGGGGTTCCAAATTCCAAACCCCATTTTTTTGACCCTGCGATTTTTTTAAAAATCCCATTGATTTTGAAACCCCCATTCAAGGGAACTGGTGTAATCAAGGGGATGCAGCTTGAAATGAATTAAAAAGACAAACCTCAGGGATACAGTTTCATATGAAGCCAGCGGATGGACTTTTTGATGTAATTTGGAGAAACTTTGGAGGCTATTTTTCTAAAATCTGGCAAAACTTTTGATGAATTTTTTTATGCACTTTTGATGTACTTTTACAAAAGTATCGACATCACAATGCCGTTGTGTCTCGCCGTGTGACGTCACAAACCGTGCAGTTCCCTTCTGTCGAGCAAACCCCAAAGATTCTTCAGAGTCTTGAGGTGGTGTTCTGTTTGAAAGGAGTTGGTACTTGTCGCAATTTTCTGCTGAAGATTCATATAGTTTTAGATTGTGGGAGTCATTGAACATGGCGGAAAATGAAAGCGGCTGATGACTTTATTAATTTGGCGCATCAATTTTGAAGTGGAGTGACTTGGACGGATCCTCGGCCCCTTATGCACATCGCATGTATGGATTTCATGCCCAAACAACTGAGCCACTGAGTTGGGTGAAACTTGTGGGTGCAGAATGTCCAGCAAAAACTGATTGGCAAAACTTTATGGGGATGTGGGGCTCGGAAGTGCCAACATGTCTTCCACTTGAAACTTCCAGCCGGAAGGTCACCTCTCTGGTCTGGCCTGCTCCAGTTTGCCCTGCGACACGAGGATAAGGGAAAGGTTGTTTACGCTGCTGAGCGTGTCCGGATGGTGCGGGCCCAGCTGTGCTTTTATCCCCACGACGGCTTTGCGCTGCAGCTCTTCAGCCTGGTATCTCGAGGTGGCGTCGGTGGTGTGGCAATGAGAACTAGCATCGCCAGTGCCTGTCAAGCACTCCCTGTATGCATTGCGGGATGCAAACTACCATATCATCTTCAATCGCGCAGACTTGGGGTCGCAAATCTCTGAGGAATTATTGGGAACAGTTTCTGGGATGAGGGGTCCCAGAGATGTCGCACTTGTATTCGGCCCGTGCCAAGTGGCATTCATTTGATGTAATTTGCATAATTTAGATATTCAAAAATTCACTCGTAAGCTAGAATCCCTTGCTACTGTACTGGGAAACCCAAAAAATCCAGGCCTTAGGCACTGGAAAAACAAAGTCCTCCAGAAAGGTCACCTCTCTTCAGCCCAAGAGAGCCGCCCAGCCTCATCAAGCTCCCCCTGCTTATACAAGAGGGCCGCCAAGCTGCGCATGCAGAAAAGCGTTGACAAAGACCGCCGCCCCAGCTGTGCTTCCCATCTTGCAAGACATCTGCGGTAAAGGACCTCTGCCTGGCGTCTCGAGATGGCGCATGGAAACAACTGAACAGCGACCGTATGTTTGGGGTGATGAAAAGATAATTAATGCAAGCGCGCATCAAGCTGAATGCAAAATCCACAATGCATGCGTGAAAAATCAAACCATCAAATCGATAAGTCAACGTTTTGACACAATAGTGATATAATACGATATAATACCCATACCCCTCCAACCGGTCCCGTCAAGACACCATCAAATTATTTTTTAAATGTAGTTTTGAGCTGTTTTGGGCGCTGCTTGACCATACCTCTGCATCTTTGATGCCTAAGTGTGTGTGTGTGTGAAAATAGCCACCAACATGTTAGCTAGCCCACATAGCTCAAGCAACTGACATATTTTTCTCATATCATCAACTAAAGCTGAGGGACCCTGGATGCTGCAGTTCAGACCCTAAACCATGGGTCTTTTTGGGAGTTATGTGAGGGGATCACGAGATTCTCTTGTTTGATCTTAGACCTTCAGGCCGTTCTGTGATGCAGGGTCTACTCAGAAATACTGACATTAACGTAAATCTATATTGCACATATCACTAAGGTCTAACATGGGGTCTCGAATGGGGTCATGTTACTTATCATGTGTAGGGTCAAGCACTTCAGACCCTAACCCTTTCTTCGCCAGCAGTGTTGAGGCTCTTTGTGGATGCATTTCGAAAGAAGAAGTGGTAGACATAAGTAGGTCGTGCTAGAAACTGTAAGTTTCTAATTACCAGGTAGCTTGGGTTTTGTTTTTGGGCTGCCCGCCCCAGGCAACACCATTCTAGACCTTCCCATTTCACCCATGGTGCAAACGAGCAACGCAACACCGTTTGGAATGTATAATGATGCACTTAATAATTGGTGGCCGCATGTGGATGCATTTTGAAAGAAGAAGTGGTAGACATGAGTAGGTCGTGCTAGAAACTGTAAGTCTCTAATTACTGCAGCACTTCTTGGAACGGTCTATGATGATAAACCCTGACATAGTTTTGACATATCATCTGGCATTTTTCTGACATGTTGCGTGACAATGTTCTTGGCATTCTACCTGGCATATACTCTGACATTCTTTCTGTGGCATATATTCTGACATTGTTTCTTGCATTCTATCTGTCTGATAGCATCCGGCTTGATAATTGGTGGCTGCATCTTGAAAGAGGAACTGGTAGACATGAGTAAGCAATGCAAAAAATTGGGATTCTACCAAGTAGCTTGGGTCTACTTTGATGTCATTGGACTTGTTATGTGTTTTTGAGCTGCCCACCTCAGGCAACACCACTCCAGACCTTCCCATTTCACCCATGCTGCAAACGAGCAACGCAACACCGTTTGGAATGTATAATGATGCACTTAATAATTGGTGGCCGCATGTGGATGCATTTTGAAAGAAGAAGTGGTAGACATGAGTAGGTCGTGCTAGAAACTGTAAGTCTCTAATTACCAGGTAGCTTGGGTCTATTTTGATATCATTGGACTTTTTTTGTGTTTTTGGGCTGCCCACCGCAGGCAACACCATTCTAGACCTCCTCATTTCGTGTATGCTGCCTGCAAACAAGCACTGCAAGAGTTCTTGGAACGGTCTATGGCGATTAAACTTAAAGAAGCAGTGGTAGACATGAATATGCAGTGCTAGAGAAAGTAGGCTTCTACCAAGTAGCTTGGGTCTACTATGATGCCGTTGGAAACGTTATGTGTTTGTGAGCGCCCACCCCACCCAACACCATTCTAGACCCCATGACTTTGGCCTCCTGCAGGAAAGCATGAAGGTTTCGAAGCATTTTGGCGGAAGAGGGAAAGCAAGCAAAGAAAAGGGCAACAAAGGGATACAAGAGAAAAGTGAACTTACCCGGAATCTTTCAATCGTCGATCTTTTGAAAACAGCCCTATGCAGAACTCTGCAAAAATCTGTTCTGGTGCACCTTGATTGGGCAACCCCGGCTGACGCAGGGACTGGAAGGCCAGTGCAATGGCAAAAGGGGCGCTTGGCAGTGCAAGTCTGTGCGAGCCTTGATGAATTCTGGATCCAAAGCTGTTGAGACTTTCAAGGGGAAATCCCCACCCAAGGAAACTGTTTGACTTCCTTAAATCTGTTGGCTAACCGGCGATGGTGATGCAGCATTGAATCGAACGGAACAAAAAGAAGGACACTATCTGTTGTCTGTTCCATTGATATCTATTGTCTGTTCCATTCACATGTCTCGTTCAAGTTGAGGCAAGAGTGCATGTGGTGGACTGTATGTGCAAAGTGTGTGCAATCCATATATGACACCTAACATGCACCCAGCACGCAGCTTGCAGAGAAATATGTGATAATCCAATTTTGGTCAAATCTTTTTGGATTTCTGATTGGTTGCCACTGGGTTCCCTCGACGCATGCGTCAATCAATGTGATTCCAACTGGCTTCGTCAGTAGATTGATGTAGATTGCGTAGATCGCTGTCTATCGAGCAATTGCAATGCATGCGACTGTAGGGTGCAAGCTTCTGTCAGGCTGCTGGAAATATTGCGGCGTATTATCTTCGAACCGAAGAATTTTCTGACTATTGCAGTGTTGGCAACTTCCTCCTGGAGCGCTCTTCTTCCTCGACTCTTTGAATTTCTAAAAGTTATTCAATTCAGAAGTTTTCCGACCGCACTTCGGTTTCGATTTTCGGCCGCATCTTTTTCGATGACGTCGACCTCAGCTTCAGACAAAGCGTTCAGCTTCGGCTCCTAAGCCTTCACAGCGACTGCGAAAGAGAAGCCTGCGCGCACAGTCAGCAACTTAAAGATCTGTCCAAAAGCCATGAAACCTGCTGCACCAAGCAAGTGCTGAACACATCTAAAACAGAAATGTCTTGAATCGCTTGAAAATGCATTCAGATGTTTTTTTTCGGAATTTCTCAAAGAGCTCAAGATAAAAAGAATCGTTTCGTTTTGACATGCTTTGATGATCTTTGAATATTTCTAAACGGATTCTTTGCAGTGAAAACTTCGAGTTTCGTTTCAAAACGTCCTGCACAGGGCTTGAACTTGTCCAAGGGAAAGCGATCAAAGTTGAGACCTTCCTCTCCAAATTTCCAAAAAGTTAAGTCTCTCCAACCTGAGCAGCGCTGAACGCAGCGCTCAACGACAAGGCGTTGAGCGATCAACCGGCCGCCTGCACGTTACTATCACTGACTACCCATTTGACCTGTGCTTGATCATCTTGGCTCTTTAGAACAGTTGAGAACAGTTTAGAACAGTTGAGAAGAGCTGATCAGTTCAATCAGTTCTTTCTATTTTCAGTTTGGATCCGAAACTATCCTCACTAAGATATGGCAATCATCTCACGACACCTTCGGCATGTAGCTACACAGTGTATATACGGTTCACACCTCGGTCTAAGTAGGCAAGTCCAAGTTGGAGCTTATTATGGTTTTTATATGTTCTTATCATTTGTTCTCATGGTTCATCATTTGGATCTTTTCAAGTATATAGCTGCTGGTAAGATGTCATGGGCAGTCTCAACAAGAACTTCATCAAATGATGTTTGCTCAACAACGGGTTCACTTCGTAGCACCACAAAACCACGGAGCCGAAAACGTCCGTCTGTTTTACTTGTATGGGTCCCCAAAGGAACCTTGAACAACGGCCACTGAAGACCGATATACTTTTGAAACTGCCTTCCGTCACGTAATTGTATATCTTGGCAAGAAAGAAGTCTTCATTTCAGTCTCAGACGAGAACCAAGATGGAAAGATCACTCACCAAATATATTGATTATTTTATATTGTGTTTGCTCATGTTGGCCCATCTTGGCTCATTTTGACTACCAAAAAGAAACCAAACAACATGAAACCACCAAAGTAGAGACTATTTTGAATATTTGAACAGACTAATAATAGACTATTCTTTGTATGTACAAAGAGACTCAAAGAGACAAAAAGTTTGGCTTCTGACTGGCGGGTCACCGTTCTCTGTGAGGGCCTTGCGCGCCTCGTCTTCCGTAAGACCATGTTTCGCCTGTGGAGTCTCTGCTGCAGGACCCTCAGAAGGATCCAAAAACTGCAGCACCCAAACAGAGCCAGGTGCAGCCACTGCAGAGACGTCACTGATCAGTTTGAATTTCCTCAGCGAAACTTTGCAACTTAGCAATGGCAAAAGTCTGCAAAACTTTGACTTCGAGCGGACTGCAAATAACTTCGAGCAAATCCTTGCTGCAGGCTGCAGTGAAGTTATTTGTTGTTCGTGCCAAGCCGTCTACACTTGAGGTTGTGCTGACATGGTAGAATCACTGGACAGACTATGGACGGACTGAACCTCAAGCTTCCGTTGATTTTCTACAACAAATCCATACGATGTTGGTGCACGTTTGAACTTCTCCTTCTGAAGCAGTTGGCTTAAGTACGTTGTCCAAAGCACTTTATCTTCTTCACAAAAGAAGTACTGTAACAAAGTTGGGTTTCATTCGCTTCGTTTTCTTGGTATTTGTAGTTTTGCAGCTTTTCTCACCTGAGAAAGTTGTCTGGTCCTCACAGAAATTTTGGCAAGTGTATACGCAATGACACCCGATAATACAATGTGCCTTCAAGATGATTTCAAAATGACTTCCGAAGTTCATGAAGAATTCATGAACTCATCCGTTTTCGCCGCACTGAGCATGAGCTGAGAATCCCTTCAGGCCCTAAATACATGATGAGTCCTTCAGCCACGAAAAGGCTTGGTTTCTCTGCTGCAAAGCCAGCTTCTGCTAGTTCCTGCTGCAATCTCCTTTCACCCAGGAAATCCAGGTCAATGGTCGCCTTGGTGTCAATGATGACCGCATTCTTGAAAAAATGATACTGTACACGAAGGAAAATTCTGCGGAATGCGTCAGAATGCATTCCAAGTTGCAAGTTTGCATTTGGGAGCTGGATTTTGTAAGACTTCTTCAAAAATAATCCGCTTCTCACGGTTCACGCTTGCCATATCTACATCAAAGCAACCATTTGGAAAGGCCTTGTAAGCTTCCAGTCTGTATGCACGGGTATCCATACCTGGATCGTATCCAAGAACGACACTGAGAGAACTGAGAACCTTCAAAAAACAGTAGAATAAAGAAAAGTTAACACTTCCTGCTGGTGAAACACAAGAAAATTCACCAAAAATTGTCCACGATTCAAGTCTTGCATCATCTTTTACCACTTTTCACCAGTTTGAGCGATCTCTTTTTGTTTTCAAAATGTTTGCTGAAAACTCCCGAAGTACCAGCACCCAAATTCACGAGTTGCTGAAGTCCAGATCCAGCATATTTCTGAATCTGATCATCGATGAAGCGAGTCCGTACAGCTGTCCAAGTCTTGTGGAAATTTGGCCAATCCGGTAGTCCAAAATGTGCCGAACCTCCACCGAACAAGTCTGATAGCATTGCTCCCTTAGGACCTGCCATCGCCTCTGCAAAGGGATCCTGTTGGCGGTTGTCATTTGGGCCACCAATCGAAAAAGAAAAGAAATTACATTATACCTAATAGAAGAAGATGATAGTGCATTCATATCAAAAATATAAAATCTTCCTTCAGATATTTTGACTATATGTTGCCACAAAAAAGACTGGTGCAAGGTTTGGCAAGTGGCAAAGTCGTGTCCTGAAAAAGTGCGTCAGCACCACGCTTCGTCTCTAGCGCTCTTTCCTTCGATGGATGAACCATTGAGGTGATCATGAATGCATGGCCAAACTGCTAGTGAACTACTTCAGGTCAGAAACAAGCAAGGAAAAACAAAGTGCAGTGGCAAATAAAAAACAAAGACCACAATGCAAAGCTACAACTACAAGAACCCATTCAAACTGCGGTTTGAGAGCACAGAACAAGGTCATGTCAACGCTAATCAATTACCAATGGCAACTACAGTAAACGGAATGCATGATGATAAATTCTAATTCCATACTTCCCAAAGGTGCTGAAATTTGAAATGCTCATCTCCGAAACATAGATGTTTGTTGCAGTGATTCGGAAATCCGAAAGTTTTGCAGTGAATTAACTGGGGCTTCATCTCGAGTGTCAAAAGCGATCATCATAGCTGAGTCGTTGGTGAAGGTCGCAGCCAACTCTTCATGTTGAAGAGCAGGTGTTACAGCAGGTGCAGGCGGCTCTGTGGGCTCAGCCATGGCACAGTTCCGAGCTAAGTCAACCAATCCGTATATCTTTTGGCGTTGACATCATGCGACATCGCATGCTACAAGGATCTACAAGGCGTAATCAATATTTGACTCTCTGTAAATCTGTGCACTTCCACACCTTAGTAGAGAATACTAGAGGCAAATAGAAGAACATGGAAAGAGAAATTTACTCTTTTCAATGTAGTGCTGAGGATGTTACCATTTTAATCTGCTCTGCATGTGAAAAAAAGTTGTTTTGATGAAAATCGTTGATGGTTCATGGACCCATAAATGTTGTATCCACCTACAAGTACCTGCTAAGCGGACAAGTCAAGTCATGCCAGCAGATAGACTTGGATGTCATAAAAAGTGGCAACAGACTTTCCAGGGCCCCGCCACTTGGCTTCTGCCGGGGTTTGCCGCATATTCTGCACATGTGTTCCAATGTCCCAAAGTTCAACTGCAAGGTAGAGGTAAGTTGTCGGTTTTAGATGATCTGGTCTTCAGGTTGCAAATCCGTTAGCGACATGTTTTTGGAATGGTGCTGGGGGTTGTAACCACGTCTGCTTTCTGGCCCGTTCACTTGGTTGTGATGTCCTAAAGCCAAAGCTTGAATGCACCAGAAGATTCGATAAGCATAGACAGCAGAAAAGGCGAATTGGTTTGGAAAAGGAATAATTGGACCCTGGCTCGCACACCATGTCCCTACTGAAATTGACAGGAAAATCTCTGCAGATTCCTTTTTGCGGGGAAGAGCTACCAAAGAAGTTGGATCGGCGCTTGGTGTTGAAAGCAATCCTGCAAACCTCGCCCAGGTCGAGGCATGAAGAATTCATTCCGCCATCTTGACATGTCCAACTTTGCGGCGATGCGCCTTGAAGATGAGGAAGCGATGGGCCAGGATCCTTGGTCGAAGGAATCAACCAGCGAGGGTTGGTAACTAAGAATCATTAAGAATCGCGTTTTATTCATGAGTCATATGTATATATCTATATATATGTATATATATAATATATGAGTCATATATGAGTCATATATGTCATAATGCCACCTGGCTGGCGGTGTGGGGCAAGTAGTTGGAGCCCAAATGTGTTGTCAGCACTAATCCTGGTTTTTAACATGTTTGCAAAGCTTATCATCACCGTTATACATGTGGAATTATACAGCTATATACTGTATTCAGCAAGAACAAGCATGATAAGAACAGCAATGATATCTGATGATAGCTAACTGGAAGTGGAAAATCCAGCCTTTGTATAATATCCATGGTTTTTCACCTGTTGGAAATTTTCTGAATTTCCTGCTCCAGGTGTGCAAAATCAAGAAGGCTATGGCCATAGTGGGACGGCTTCGTTGTGACCACCAGCCGCACCAGCCATTATAAGCATGATGAACCATTCTAACACATTGAAATCATTACCGGTTGTCCAATGTTACCCATAAGCAGCACACCTTGGAAGTAATGTGGCTTACCGATGGTTTATCATTGGGTGACTAACATTCTAACTTATAACTTATAACCATGATTAGATACGGAGAAGCTCTTGTGACCTCGTACATTTACAACTGCGAGGAAACATCAAAAAGGCTATAGAATCACAGCAAGTCCTGCACTTAGCACTGTTTCTTAGAACCCATTCCATTTGTCAAGCGAAAACGATTTAACTGAATTTAACTCTATGTTGAACACCTGACATGCACCGAAGGCATGATTTCTCAGGTCAGAACGAAACGCCGAAGCTTCAGCAGTTGCGGCACGGAAGAAGCTGAAAACAAAAACCTTCGGCCATGACGACATACAAGTCAAGTTGAATCCTGCAAAGCCAAAACAGTGTCCAAAAACATGTTCACAACATTTACGAAACTAGAAGTCATGATGAGTGGTGTCTACTGCAGCGCTACAATATAGTGGTATTTAAGCGTGCAAAATGCAATCCGAGTGACGGAAGCGCGAAATCCATGCTGGATTTGTTGGTTTTGAGAAGCCTTTGCCCTTGTGTAGGTGCGGTTCAGGCATCAACTTCTTGAATTTATGGTACGATTTGGTCGAGAAACCCCTGAGAATTGCTATGCCATGCTAAGCCGTTTCAAAACAAATGGATGCGACGCTGCAAACTTTGGCAGGGAGAGAAATCCATCACGGCTAATGTCCTCTGACTCTGGGTCAAAAAGACCGAAATGCCTTTCATGTGAACACTGTTTGAGGCAGAACATGTCTGGCGCAAATCAGGCAACCCTGACGTTCCAAAACCTGGAAAATGTTGTCTGCATCTTGCGGCTGACTGAATCCAGCACATAGGGACAAGTTTCTTTTGCTCTTCTTCTGATCATCAGCTTCTTTCAGCACAACACATCTCCACACACTGAGCTTTGATTGTCGCGAGCGACACGTTGAGTTGACTAGTCTCTGGAACCATCTGGAACCTATGAGCTTTTGCGTGTTTTTTCCGGCTCAGGAAACCCCCATTCTGGAAGCTTCTGATGTCTTAAACATGCACGAGATCCATGATGGCCTCAAGGGCATGGCCAAGCCTTGGAATCCCGACAGGACAGCATCGCCATTTCATGATACAGCCAGGATGTTGTCAAACTGCCAAGAAGATGAACCCGATTTCTGCGGGTCACGGAGCAATTTTGGAAAGCGCAGGTGCTCAAGCACTTGAAGTATACTCTTGTCTCAAGTCACTGTTTCTTTTCTGAGAATTTCATCACGGCAAGATCATCTATATGCTGTACCTTATCTGCGCGGAAGATATGTGGTGGCACCCCGGAATCAATCTGCCACATGCCATGAACTTTTGAACTTGTGACCTGTGAAATTCCAAGACCGTTTGAGGAATACTTTCACACAGGATGCCGGATCCAGAGAAGCTGTGACTCGGTAGTGGGGGAATGGAACCTGAGGCAGCTCTGTCAAGCTGCAAACTTCATAATCACAAAAGCATCTCAAAGAATCAAAATTGTAGTTTCTCCAGCTAGTGATTGATAGATTCTACTGCAGAGTTTTTTGACACTCCCGGATGAATGCAGCATGCAGGTGCAAATCAGAAGCTGGTGGCATGGAACGATGTGGCTACTTCACGGAAAAAAGAAAGAGATGTGCTTGATGTGAAGCTTACCCTTGCAATTGATAGCATCAACAGACCGTCAGAAACGAGCTTCGGGATTTACAGCCCTCGGAGCCGACGCTGCAAGTGTTGTGTCAGCAAACCATTCATTCAGGACGCAACGGAATCAAAGTCAAATCCATTAAGTCACACCGGTCTGTGAAACACCTGCTGCCAATGTTCAAATCTATATCTCTTAGTTGGGCCGTCCTCTGATCTTGCTGCGCAAGCCAAATTGCTCTGTGTATGATGATGTCAGAGTTTGATTGAGCAAGCTGGCAGCTGACCTTATGACAAACTGGTGGCCCTTGATGCAATTGCGGCCTGCGGCGTTTCTGGCGAGGCTGTTGACTCCCGCCACAGTACCATTCTGGATCAGCATCAAACTGTACAGGGAGCTCTTCTCTGCAAATATCCACAAAAACGTGGATGGTAGGGACGAAAGCACCACGTGTTTATCATGCCAGTCGTGGATGATCTAGAAGCAAGCTTCGGGTTGGCGTTCTATCACTTCTTGATGGCCTGCCTTTGCACATTGCAATTGCTGCATAATTTGTCGAATCATGTATATAAATCAATGAAATTGAACTTGGAAATGCAAAGTTCTCACTTTTTTTGCAATCTTTTTCGCAACCTTGCTCTTGAATACACCCTGTTAACATGTGGGAAAATATCCCATTCAAGACTTTGCGAACTTTGGGCCTGAGGAATCAGTTCAAACATCCACTGACTGGCCTGCGAAAAGTGTCCAGCGACTGGTCTGTCATGTCGGCTTCGGAGGTTTCAAGCTTTTGACTAACCCATAAAAAGGTTGAACGACCAATTTCCAAAAAGTTCCACTTGTTAAACATAAGAAAGCGCCGAAACATGCATCAGGACGCATCGCACACCCCAGATTGGGCCCTGTGACACACTACCTGCAGGATTTCAAACCTTCGGCCTGGCAAACATGGCTGGCACACGTGCCACACGAATGTTCATGTCAAAGGTTGGATTTGGACAGGCAGAAAGGCTGCGCTGGCAAAGCTGCTGGGTTTCAGGTGCCACAACACTGCCACAACATGCCACATGAAGCTGACAGCCGAACATCATGTACAAGCTGCAAGTGTGAGGTAAGCGTCCTGTGGCAAGTTTTCAGTCAGGCAACATGCTTCAGCGCAGTGTAGAATCACGCTATTGGATTGGGCAACTGCACAACCTGTGGAACAAAAATTAGCGTCCACTTGTTGTCCGGTGCACCGCGTTGCTGCGAGTTGCTGCAATGCTGCACGGCATGTTATTGCTTCACACAATGCTTCACATCGCACTCTGCAATTGGAAGTTCTAGCCAACAATGTGTGAAAAAGCTGCAGCTCAGTGAGCGCCCGTTGGGAAAGGAACAAACCCTGTCCAATATAGAGCGCCAACAACCTACACCTCTGACTTGTTGTTGCGATCTCCAGCAGTTGCGTTGGACTAAGGCACTAATTCATGACGTAACAAGAACGGTTGGAAACCAGCCAATTGATCCGCCGTCATGTTGAGCTGCTCTGCAATTGAGTAGTTGCATACTGTGCAAAATGTATCAGCTTAAATCGCAGGAAGCACAGAACCTACGCATTAGCTTGGAAAACATTCCATTGGGGCCTCTATCATGTCTGAGTGCCCGCAATTCCACAGCTGCGCAACAAACCTTCCAAGGCAACACTGTCAACCGCAGGTTCATTTTGTGTTGACTGTGTGTTGCCTTAATCTGCCTTAGTCTGCCTTATGTGTTCTTATGAAACTTCTTCATTTCATCTGGTGTGAAGGTGTCACACCACGAACGCCGAGCTTGGACCCGCGGAAGTTCAATATCTGGACACCTATGAACGCGTTCAAGAAGTCCATGACTCCATGACTCTATAACGCTTCATCTGACATAAAGAAGTGCAAATAGCCCAAAGAAGCAGCA